AACCCCGAGACTTCAAAAATATAGTGATCATCGAAAGTAAGTTATCTTCTCACATTTGAACTTGGGAACTCGATATCTTCAATGAAAGATAGAAAAAAATATTGGGTAAACGTTTATTTTGATTGTTGCAGTTTGACTGAAGAAGAAAAAAACCCTATGAATAAATAGTCCGAAATTTTTTGAAAGTTGGAACAAAACATCTGCGCTGATACGGCAGTTTTTAGTTTTCACTACATAATTACTGTAGTAAAAATGAAAAACGGGCAAAAACTATTGGTTTTAAAATCATTAAATCGAAGATATCTGGCTTTTTTGATAAAAGAATTTTTGTATATTGATTAAATAATTGCCTAGAAAAGCGCATAATGACATAACATAGATAAAATGAAAGATGATATTGAATTAAATTCCCCAGTATTTTGTTGACTTTATTCGGTTTCGCATATTGAGTTATGACCGAGGTGGTTAACTCATAGAGTAATTTCGGATAGGGTACACCGTCTGCTCGTCACGCTATCTTATTTTCGGCCGGATAGATTCGTGCAACTTCTTAGTCTAATACCGATCCTAATCTTACTCTTATACTATCTAGTCTCAGGTTGTTTAACTAGTCTCTGCTAGGCTCAATAGATCTAGGGTATACTGGTTTATTGCGGCTGCTGAAGTTCTCTTGGAGAGTCAACTAATTTCTAAGTTAAATTCAAATCTCTCTGGTGCTGAAATTACAAGTAATTTCAGCACTTACAAATAAGTGGGTTGTTAGTTAGATGGATCATGATTGGTTAATATTAAATACTTTACAGTGGTAAAATATCTAATTTATCCAATCATAAAATGTAGTTTAGATCAGGTTCCAATATTTTCAAAAAAGTTATTTTGAAAGCATTTCTTCTATTAACGGACAAAACACAGACAATACGTTCATTTCTGGTGCACCTAGAAAGCAATCTTTGCAATATTCTTGCAAAGGAATGCAAATCTTGTAAGAATCTTGCAAAACTTGCATTCACCCAGCCAGGTTGATTTTCACTAACGTTTATTAAATTATGCGTTTCATGCAAACTTCTAAATTTGCAAAATTCAGATTTTTTGCATTTTGCACTTTTATATTTGGGTTAATAAGGAGTAAAAACTTTCTCATCAATAATCGAAATTTTTTGATCATTAACTTTTTTTGAAGTTTTTCAAAAAATGAAGTTTTTTCCTTTAGAAACCTTGGTTTCGCCTGCATTCGGGCAATTTCTTCAGGTTTTGTTTGGTTTTGGGGAATGTAATCCAACAATATGATTAGGAATTTTAAAAACAGTGAGTATACCAAACAATGAATCGGTGAGCAAATAGATCAAATTTTGGATTAGACTGCAAAATCTTGCTTATTTCTTGCACAAACAAATCTTGCAAGAACTTTGCAAGAAAAAGCAAGAATAATGTTCTTACGCAAGACGTCTTGCAACATTTCCAACATTTCGAGAACACTGGGGAACTTGATCTGAACACAAGTCTGCCAGATCTGACCACGTGTATGTGACATATCTGATCACATGCTTGCCAGATCTGGTTATGTGTTAATCGTATTTGATTAAAACTGCAAAATTACTGCAACTGCAAGCAAAACTTAACACTTGTTTTGGCATAAACAGAAATTATGTAACCGGAAAATAACTTAAAAGTACTAAAATTCGCATTAAAAAGCAAATCTGAGCAGCTTCTTGAAAAACTCAAGGTTAATTCATCAGCAATAAGCTGAACAGAAAGATTTTCAAAACAAGACCGATTAAAAAATGGCCCATGTGAACAATCCCCCTAAAATTAAGGTTGCATGTTCTATGCTCAAGTCCGATTGGTTAAAAAATTTTTTTTAACTAAGTGATTAATCTCCCGCTGATGATTTACGGGAAGTTAGTTCATTGGTTCAAAAGAAGGAATTTAAAATTTTTTTAAAAAAATTCTAAGCAAAAGAAAAAAAATTTAGAAAAGAGGCAATCACAGTAGAGAGTTTTTAAGCCAGACAACAAAATAAAAATGCCAACACAAAAACGAGAGCCTTGAAATCAACAAAATTATGATTTTTTTTAAATTTTTCAAAAAACAACTTTTAAGAATTTGCGGCAGTTTTAGACAAAATGCAGATAAAATATAGGCAGATAGTTTTTTTTAATTTTTGGTTTCTTCAATTCATAATAAAATAAACCCAAGATTACTCTCGTACGTTAGAAAAAATTTAACGCGAAAACCAAAGTATATGATACAACTTTTCCACTAAAACTTCGATTGCTACAGTTTTCTACTTACAATTAGATATAATGCAAAACCACTTTAGAAAAACTCTCGCGAGCAACGTTTCTTTCAAACTATAGAGAAACTTCTTGATATCCAGTTTTTGAAAACTCTTTTTAAAAGTTATTTACATGCGGCCAAGTTTGTTTTCCGGCAAAAATAAACTGATCATTGGAACCTACTTTGATTTTCTAAAGAACGTTGCACTAGCAGTTTTCGGCAAAGGAAAATCCCAACTGTTTTTTTAGATAGTGGAAATATTCTAAATCCATCCAAAATCCATCCGAAAGTCAATCAAAATGCGACTGAAAGAGATTTTTTATATGTCATTCAAATCCATATATTCTGTACCTACCCGCACTGACTAAAATGGTTTCAAATTGGGTTAAATTGACCTTGAAAATTTTGGACCATTTTGTCATTCAAATCCATATATTCATATATCCAAATATCCATAAATTATGTCATTCAAATCCATATATTCTGTACCTACCCACACTGACTAAAATGGTTTCAAATTGAGTTAAATTGACTTTGAAAATTTTGAACCATTTTGAAAATTTTGGATCAATTTGAGAGTCTAAAAAAATCTATGTTAAACAATTCTGAAGGATTTTTCGACTAATTAAAATTCAGCCAAATCTTACTTTAACTCATCCGAGTCCTACTAAGTTCCATTCAAATCCATTCAAAGATACCCATTAGCAAAGTAGCTTTACTGTTTAAAAGTCCATTTAAAATAAAAACAATTAAATTTTTTTGCTAGAATTGCAAGAACAAGCTATTTAGAAAAATAAGTAAAATTTTTTTTCTCGATTTCTCAAATAATAAAAACGTGCCAGATAAGTAGAAATAAAGATAAAACCAATACTAATCAGCAAAAATCATCAATGTGAACTAGCTTTTAAATAAAAACGTATGTAGCAACTTGAGAAAATGTTGAATAGAAATAAGATTTTTAATTCGCAAACTTTCATTAAAATCACAGAAAATATTCATTTTAAAACCTAAATTTTGACAAACGTCTGTTAACAGATTCAGAAAACGCTCAAAAAATCAGCTTTTGAGCTCAAAAAGAGGCAACAGGTTCATATAAAATCATCAATGTAAATCAGCTTTCCGGCAAAAATAGTTATAATAAATCAAGAAAATGGTCAATATAGATCAAATTTTGAGCTCGAAATATGCAATGAAATCATATGATGTTAATGGTATTTTGAGAAGTATTTGGTTTTTTCATTGTGTTACCATACGCTATGGATGTAAAATGAAAAATTATGTGCAATGAATAAATACAGCATAAAGTTGAAACTGATGAAATATGAATGAGAAAAAGAGGTTTAGATTGAAACCTAAAAATAAAAATAAATTCAGACTGAAAAAAATGGATTTAAATTGATTTAATTTGATCTAGCTCACTTTTTGTTCCGACTTTCGATACGAAAGTAACGGAATATTTGTGCTCGGGGTGGGTTTTTTTTTTCTTCAGACAAATTTCGACTTTTTAACTAGCCATTTTTGACGGAATCTTTTTATATCAATCGAAAGGTATTGTTGTCCTGAGCTCAAATTTGAAAAGATATTTCACCTGTGATCATTTTTCGTAGAGTTACGGGGGTTTAAAGGTTGCCATTTTGGCCAATTCGGGACAATTAACGCGCGGTATATTTCGCGCTTTTAACGCGTAAGCGGAGAGATAATCCGTCTTAGAAATCGTTCCCAATTGGTTAAAAGAAGCTTATTTGCCATAATTGGTTTGTTACAAGGAGCGAAATCTATCCTTTTGTACTTTATATGGCGTGTGGGGGGATGATTTTCATAAAAAATTTGAAATTTTAGAAATTTTTTTTTTCATTTTGTTTTATTTCATTGAATTTTTTAAATGTTATTACTGCTCCATAAACCTTAAAAGGCAGTCGGAAAAAACAGGGCTTCGCCCTGATACGAGCAGTCTTGTTTTAGTTGAAGATCAATATAAATCAAGTTTGAATTCATCCAAAACCATCTTAATCTTTTCTATTCAATCTTTGTACTTTTTTCATGCTAAAATCGATCTCTTTCGAAATTACATACTTATTGTTCCGACTTTCGATACGAAAGTAACGGAATATTTGTGCTCGGGGTGGGTTTTTTTTTCTTCAGACAAATTTCGACTTTTTAACTAGCCATTTTTGACGGAATTTTTTTATATCATTCGAAAGGTATTGTTGTCCTGAGCTTGAATTTGAAAAGATATTTTATCTGTGATCATTTTTTTGTAAAGTTATGGGGGTTTAAAGATTGCCATTTTGGCCAATTTGGGACAATTAACGCGCGATAAATTTCGCGCTATTAACGCGTAAGCGAGATTTAATCCGCCTTAGAAATCGTTCCAAATTGGTTCAAGGAAGCTTATATGCCATAATTGATTTGTTAATAGGCGCAAAATCTATCACTTTGAACTTAATATGACGTGTGGGGGGATGTTTTTTTATCAAATTTTATCTCAAATTTTTTCAAAAAGTTTATTAAATTTTTTTATTACATTGAAATTTTTCATCTTATTAATGCTCCATAGACCTTAAAAGGCAGTCGGAACTTTCAGGGCTTCGCCCTGATACGAGCAGTCTTGTTAGTTCTAAATTCGATACTACTTCGTTTTTGTCAGTGAGTGTAGTATAGTGCATAATAAACATAAATTTAGTTCACTAGCAGTAGTGATAGAGTCACTAAGATATTCTTACCGTTATTTGAGTCCATATTCAATCAGTCTAAAGTTAAATCCGAAACCGAAAAAAAACAATGTGACCATCAGGGCACTCTCTTTTATCAGCTTTATTTAAAGTTTTGCAAAATGTTTTGCAGCGGAGTTGGAAAAGCTAATCTAGAATAACAATTTATGCTTCCAAAAATTTACACCATAACTATTTGGCACACAGATAAATATGAAAAAAGTAAACAGCAGCTCAATTTGAATTTTTTATAATTGTGGTATTACTTCCTTGGAAAAAAATCAACGTAAAATGCTGGTATTTTCCGCAAGTATTTTAAAAATAAGTCCGACCTTATACGCTTTTATAAGCGTATACATGCAAAGGCTAACCACTATTTTCCAATTACGTATTAAAAATTGAGAGAGGGGAAAAGAATACATAGGCTCGAAGCGGGATGAAATTTACCCACGTTTAACACCAAGTAACTATTTTACATTGACATTTTTTTCAGTCACGCGGACGCTTTTCCCCCATTTTCAGATGAGCTCCAAAATGTATCTTTTTATGGCAATGTTGTTACTTTTTTCTTTGAAAAGCTTTTGATTGATGATGCCCATATTTTAAAATGAAATGCCTTTAAAAACCAATCTTTGCACTTTTGAGTTATGACTTGGGTGTATAACTCATAGAGTAATTTCGGATAGGGTACACCGTCTGCTCGTCACGCTATCTTATTTTCGGCCGGATAGATTCGTGCAACTTCTTAGTCTAATACCGATCCTAATCTTACTCTTATACTATCTAGTCTCAGGTTGTTTAACTAGTCTCTGCTAGGCTCAATAGATCTAGGGTATACTGGTTTATTGCGGCTGCTGAAGTGCTCGGGAGAGTCCAACTAATTTCTAAGTTAAATTCAAATCTCTCTGGTGCTGAAATTACAAGTAACTTCAGCACTTACAAATAAGTGGGTTGTTAGTTAGATGGATCATGATTGGTTAATATTAAATACTTTACATTGGTAAAATATCTAAATTATCCAATCATAAAATGTAGTTTAGATCAGGTTCCACCCATCCGGGTTTTACAGAGTTTTTTAGAATAGTTCTTCTGCAATTCGAAGGATGGATGATGGACGTTGGTGTTTGGCGAACATCTTATTTCTTCTGTTTCCTTTTTATTAAAGAAGTTCCAGGAAGCTGGAGTTAGAGACATAAGACGTTGTGTCTTCTAGTGACAACGACTAAGTCTTTGCAACAAACTCAAATCTGATTTCAGAATGGTTTGCTATGTCAGGTTTTTCTGTTCTGCGTGGAGAACTTCTTTTGTGTCTGATCTAGTTTGGGAATGGCGTGGAGATTGTGCGTGGAGGGGATGCCTGGTTACTCGGATCTGTACGTATACTTGAACATCGAGGTGGTCATTGGTCTAGTTCAATGAAGTCCTTTTCTGCGAAGTCAAGTCGTACTCTAAATCCTTTGAGTTGTGATTGTGAGTGGCATATCGATTGTGGTTGGTCATTCTCTCTCGAGTGTAGTGGGGTCGTTTTGTCTTTAGATGTTCGTCCTTGGTGTTGTATTCTGATCTATGTATTGCATAATGTAATTTACATTTTATAAAACATTTATTAGTTTAATATTTTTTAGTTATGATTTTAGTTAGTTGTTTTCACAAAAGCTTTTTGTTTTAGTTCGGTTATTTTGAAGAGTTACTCACACTTGAGTAGCTCTTATTAAAAATAGAGGTGTGGTCACAAAGCGTGGATGTAGCACGGTGGGTTAGGCCGGCTATAGAGCATGCTCAGGACGTCCTTCCTGGTGGGTTAGGCCAGGAGTGGGAGTATGATTTCATGCGGTTTTTGTGAGGGGTCCTGTTATGTGACAACGTTTTATGTTGGGTTTGTTGTGGTCTTACTTATGTTTTGTTGGTTGTGTCCTTTTTTCAAAAATCAAATTGTTTGTGGTATGGGTTTGTCTTTCGACTTTTTTGTGTTTTATTATTTCTTTCTTAGACTTTATAATAGTCCTCAAAAGAATAAATTATCCAGTTTTAAACTGGGTTAATCCGGTTTGGGTACCGTTGGTTTCCTTTTCTTAGTCATGCTGTTATTCTATGATTTGTGGTATTTAGTAAGCTGCGTTGGTTAGTTTTGTTTAGTATATGATTCCTTTCCAACCGGGTTAAAGGAAAGTTTGAAACATGTTATTATATGTTAGAGTTGTTGAGTGTGAAAACTTGAAACTGAAATTCATTATTTTAAACAATTCTTCGTGGGCGAGCTGTGCGAGTGTGGATAGAATTTCTGTGCGAATGAATGAAAATATTAAAAGGTTAGTACTGCAATTGCATTTTATTAATTTACTGCATAGAATTTGGAAATTTACTGCTAGTTATGGAGGAATTTTAAGATACAAATTTTCATCATAATTAGATTTACTGCTTTGGGGGAAAATATTATAGATGAATTTACTGCATTGGTATTAAATTTATTAATTTATAAGTGTAAGAGATTAATAGAATTTTTGAAATCTGTTTGATGAAATTTGCGATTTTTATTTGTCTTTTGTTGTTTTTTGTAGGTGATTGTCGGATGAAGGCTAAAAATCTAAAGAAAACATGGATAAAGTATGGTGAGTTTTTTAATATTTTAATTAGTTAGTAATATTCACTTAATTCATACTTACCTGTTAGTCGTCGGGGAAAAAACCGTGGGGGAAGATGTCGTGAATTAGTTCTGAAGTTGTTAGTAGTTTAGCTAGAATGCGGATGATATTTTTAGTCTGAAGCAGTGGCCAAAGCAATTGAAGTGCCTTAATAGTGGTTAGTTCTTCAGTGCCTACTATAAACTCATAAGGTGTGTTTTGGATTAAGTTATATAATTTGTGGTTAAATTTAGTGTTGTGGATGAATTCTAAAATTGGGATTTCTATAGGCTGTACAAACTCGTGCGGGATAAGGAAGGGTCGGGATTCTTCGGCGTTGAAGGTCTTGGTGATGGGGCAGAAAATGTACAATTGGGTTATGGGGTCATAATTACGAAGAATACCATGGAGGTTAGTGTCTTTAATACAATATGTGAAATTTAGGAAATACGGTGAAGTGTATTTTGAATTGATGAATTGAAAACGATGGTGTGGTTGTCTAGAGGGTGTGTGGAGGTCAAAGTGATTTTGGATGAAACGATAGTAACTGTATGTATGTGTTTGTTTAGTGCGCAACATAATATCATGTGAGCAGTGCAAATCTCTTTCGTGTGGTGCAAGGAAATGAAAGGTTAGTGAAAAGATTTGGAAGCGTTCTTTAAAACTTTCGTATGCTTGTGTGTTTGTTAGTGCTTCTGAAATAATGTGATCAAACTTTCGGTCGAAGATGTTTAGTGTAAATACATATGGTGTCTTGATGAAAAATTTCTCGGTGATTTGTGGATTAGCGAAGCGATCGTCGTCTAAGAATTGATCTTGGTTAGCTCTGATGATGTTGTGATCGTAGTATTCTAGTGTATATTCATTAGCTCTAGGTGCAGTGTGTATTTTTAGTGATTTTTTATATCCAACGTAAGTAAACTGTCTAGCGGTTAGTGGTGTAGTTAGTTGATATAGCATGTCTTTGTTTCGTTCTATATCGATGGAAGTGTTGGATAAAGTGAGTTATGACTTGGGTGTATAACTCATAGAGTAATTTCGGATAGGGTACACCGTCTGCTCGTCACGCTATCTTATTTTCGGCCGGATAGATTCGTGCAACTTCTTAGTCTAATACCGATCCTAATCTTACTCTTATACTATCTAGTCTCAGGTTGTTTAACTAGTCTCTGCTAGGCTCAATAGATCTAGGGTATACTGGTTTATTGCGGCTGCTGAAGTGCTCGGGAGAGTCCAACTAATTTCTAAGTTAAATTCAAATCTCTCTGGTGCTGAAATTACAAGTAACTTCAGCACTTACAAATAAGTGGGTTGTTAGTTAGATGGATCATGATTGGTTAATATTAAATACTTTACATTGGTAAAATATCTAAATTATCCAATCATAAAATGTAGTTTAGATCAGGTTCCACCCATCCGGGTTTTACAGAGTTTTTTAGAATAGTTCTTCTGCAATTCGAAGGATGGATGATGGACGTTGGTGTTTGGCGAACATCTTATTTCTTCTGTTTCCTTTTTATTAAAGAAGTTCCAGGAAGCTGGAGTTAGAGACATAAGACGTTGTGTCTTCTAGTGACAACGACTAAGTCTTTGCAACAAACTCAAATCTGATTTCAGAATGGTTTGCTATGTCAGGTTTTTCTGTTCTGCGTGGAGAACTTCTTTTGTGTCTGATCTAGTTTGGGAATGGCGTGGAGATTGTGCGTGGAGGGGATGCCTGGTTACTCGGATCTGTACGTATACTTGAACATCGAGGTGGTCATTGGTCTAGTTCAATGAAGTCCTTTTCTGCGAAGTCAAGTCGTACTCTAAATCCTTTGAGTTGTGATTGTGAGTGGCATATCGATTGTGGTTGGTCATTCTCTCTCGAGTGTAGTGGGGTCGTTTTGTCTTTAGATGTTCGTCCTTGGTGTTGTATTCTGATCTATGTATTGCATAATGTAATTTACATTTTATAAAACATTTATTAGTTTAATATTTTTTAGTTATGATTTTAGTTAGTTGTTTTCACAAAAGCTTTTTGTTTTAGTTCAGTTATTTTGAAGAGTTACTCACACTTGAGTAGCTCTTATTAAAAATAGAGGTGTGGTCACAAAGCGTGGATGTAGCACGGTGGGTTAGGCCGGCTATAGAGCATGCTCAGGACGTCCTTCCTGGTGGGTTAGGCCAGGAGTGGGAGTATGATTTCATGCGGTTTTTGTGAGGGGTCCTGTTATGTGACAACGTTTTATGTTGGGTTTGTTGTGGTCTTACTTATGTTTTGTTGGTTGTGTCCTTTTTTCAAAAATCAAATTGTTTGTGGTATGGGTTTGTCTTTCGACTTTTTTGTGTTTTATTATTTCTTTCTTAGACTTTATAATAGTCCTCAAAAGAATAAATTATCCAGTTTTAAACTGGGTTAATCCGGTTTGGGTACCGTTGGTTTCCTTTTCTTAGTCATGCTGTTATTCTATGATTTGTGGTATTTAGTAAGCTGCGTTGGTTAGTTTTGTTTAGTATATGATTCCTTTCCAACCGGGTTAAAGGAAAGTTTGAAACATGTTATTATATGTTAGAGTTGTTGAGTGTGAAAACTTGAAACTGAAATTCATTATTTTAAACAATTCTTCGTGGGCGAGCTGTGCGAGTGTGGATAGAATTTCTGTGCGAATGAATGAAAATATTAAAAGGTTAGTACTGCAATTGCATTTTATTAATTTACTGCATAGAATTTGGAAATTTACTGCTAGTTATGGAGGAATTTTA